GTGACCAACTATTTAATCGTCTGTGACCAACAATTCGGCTGATTTGTGACTATATATTAGGTGTCTGTGACGAAAAGTAATTTGTGACTAAGAAACTGTAACTTATGTGACCTATAAAAACAATGTGACCTGTAATTTGAATGATATGTGACCTCAAAATAATGTGGCCTGTAAAATTTTTGATCTGTGACCATAAAATAATTTGTGACCAATTAATTTGACGATATGTTACCAGTAAATAAATCTATGACTTATAATTATGAATATGTGACCAGTCGCCGGAAAAGTTGTCGGAGAAGAGTGGTGGTCAGAATGGTCGCCGGAACAATCGCCGGAAAAAAGTGGTGATCGGAATGGTCGTCGGAATAGTCCCGGAGCAGTAGGGGTGGTGCAAGTAGGGTGGGTTAATTATATTATATTATATTATATTTTAAAAAAAAACCTGATTTTTGAATTTTTAAAATATAAACTTGATTTTGAATTGGTGTAAAGTAAACACCTTATTTATGAATTTTTCCCTTTTTTTTTAATGTACCGATTTTGAGCAGTTATCAGTAAATTGATTTTAAGTGGTTTTAGTAGCAATTTTTTAAACAGTTCAACTTATGTTTGAGAGTTTATTATCCACCTTTCACAAAGTTTTTTAAAATAATAAAATCACAAATCTATCCCTTAGTGAAAATTTCAGTTTATAGTTTTTTGTATTAAATTTTTTACTCATAAGTGATATTTTACTTATATGTAATTTTTAACATATAAGTTCATATTTAAATTGAAAAGTCAAATAAAGTTAGATATTTACTTATAATTTTAAGTTATTTATTATTGCTTGTAAGTAAATTTTATAATTATAAATTAATATTTTACTTTTAAATCATTTTTACACGTAAGTGGTTTTTTAATTACAAGTAACTTTTTATATCTTATAAGTAAATTTTTTTTACTTACATGTAATTTTTTGCTTATAAATAATTATTTTAGTTAATATAATTTTATTTATGAGTTAGTTTTGAACAAAATATGTTGATTGAAATTATAAAAGATAAAATTAGGAGAGAATATGAGAAACTGGCAAAATTCGTTGATTTGGTGGGTTGAGAGAACCAGTTAAAATTATACTGCACCAATTTTGAATGGCTTAAAATTGGTATCCAAAAATACTAGCAAGTATCAATTTTTTCAACCTATCATAAATGGTGCAAATCAAAATTGGTCAAAAAGCGAAAATAAAAAGTCTCAAGCAGGTCCTAAGTGCTAACTTTTTAGATGAGTTTGTAGGTTTATAACTTACTGGGCCGTTATCTAAGTTATGAGTTATAACCTTGGCATATTTAGTTTTAAGAATTTAATCTTAAAGGGAAAAAAATCAAATATACCCACTTTAGTTATGAAATATTTGTGATGGTCAAACGCATACGTGACATTATATCTTTTTGTGGATGCAAATATGGAGTCTGTTAATGTATTCATCAACTCGATACGAATGCCTTTGAATGTGTAACTAAGATTCCATTTTTTTCTCTACCCTAAAGGATGATGTGTGAATATTATTTGAGTTTATGGATAATACATAAATATATTATATTGTTACTGCAATAATATGTTCTTTCCACATTATTTCGGGTAATTTTCGTCCCATGTTTTGATATTTTAGATTCCTAATATCATTTTCCTATATCCTAGGCATCTGAATCTAATGGCTTTAACAGGGTTAAAGATCAGATCTACAGAACATTGGGGAAGAAAGTGTAACTGTGTTTGATGTATGTCTTAAAGAATCAATCTGTTTCCTCACTTTAATCAGAGAATTTGGGTTATTGTTCCTTTCCAGAATTGGGGATTTTTTTTTTTTTTTCAAATATTTCACAGTTGAAGGTAATATCACGATCTTCTATTTCACAGTTTTTATTTCCTGGTGCCTTCTACTCTCTACTTCTTGCAAATTACTAAAATCCAGTTTATAGCAAAACTTGAACAGAAAATTCAAAGTGAGGTGCAAGAAATTCGAAAGGTGTTCCATTGCAAACTCTACACCGAGCAACATAGATTAAGGATGGAGTTTGAAGCACAACTACGCTCGTGTGATCACAACCACATAGAGGGAGTTTTTGCTTGAGCTGATACTTATCCAGTTGACATTGGAAAGTACTTTTGTTGGTGTGACATCACTTTTCACTCCGTAAAAAATTGTTCAAGTACGCATCAACTTAAAAAAAGGTTGAACCCCAACATTGAGGGCCCCCCACCGCCCTGCCTCTAGAGCATTGTGGAGGAGGTAAATTGTGGAATGTGCCTCAACAGATCAAGGTACAAGAGCTTCCATACTGGTGCTCACAAAGAGTCCAATTCCATACCTTGTAAGAGGCAGAAATCGAACTCTCACACTGCGGTTGCCAGCTTAGTTGAGATTATCTCACTCATGTCCTTTGCACCATTGAACTATGCCCCGGGGGACAAGTACGCATCAACTTATCTTTCCTAATAACATTGCACATGCATAAAGCATAAATTTATGTGCCCTAATCACATTTCACATACATAAAGTATCAACTTCACTATGCATCATCTAATCACACTATTCATGGTTGTGCATTATATGAATGATATGATCGTAACTACTCTATTGTAATTGTTATTTTCTAATAAAGCAGAGCTATCATTAATGTTGCAAAGAAGCCAAAGGTAGTTGTTGCCTCGGTCTTCTACAACGGTTATGAAGAATAGAGAATTCCGACTTTGTGACTCAACGTACTATGAAATGTTCTATTGTATCATTAGTCGTGTAATACTTTTTGTACCACAACATTGAGTTTGTTATTGAAGAGTGGAGAACAAGTCTTTAAGATTTAAAGAATGTTGACTTTTTGTTGGTTTTTGTTCTCTTCTACGTTTAAATGTTCAAAGAGCTTGAGGAACTCATTAGGTTTAGGTTTGATTATATAGATAAATGGTTGATTATCAGGTTGCAGAATGAAGGTACTCCTATGCAATTTATCTATGGCCAATTTGGTATGAATTACAAATCAGCGAACACAACAGGTTTACATTTTTTATATGGTGATTTGTACACGTGACCGGAGAATACAATTGATGTATTTGTTTTCTACAAACCTATTTCCTTCAATATTGTACAATTTTATTTATTTTAACGTACTAATTTGTTCGAGCCTGTCATAATTGATCTATACTTGGATGGAGCGACTATATGCATATAATTCAAGTCTATTCATCGTCAAGTACTCAACATCATAGATAGCATACAACTTCTAGATACTTGCCTTGACTTGTAATGAGTTTGCACATAATGAGATCATATTTAGGGAAAATTGCAGCCACAGTACTAAACCTTTCTTTTTTTGCGGACTTTGCCCAAACCTTTGTTTTGTACCACCCACGGTACCAAACCTTTAAACAATTTGCACTTGAAGTTCAAATTGACAGAAACCGTTAGTTTGACCGTTAGTTGACCAATAATTAAATGTTTGACCAATTATTGACCATTTTTTAAAGGTTAAATATGTAATTTTACATTTTTCATATGAAAAAAAATTAAAATAAAAGAATTAAATTTAAAAAAAATCCCAATATACTGTTCATCTTCTTCCCCCACCCCCTATCATCTCCTTTTACACCCTCCCCTACCATCCTAACGCTGCCGCCCACAACCTCCGCAAACGATGCTTCATCTGTCGCCGTTGCTTCTTCCTCACTTGCTCATGGTCCACTATGCTTCTCATTGCTATTCTCCGCCTCACCGCCATTGCCGCCGCTACCTTCTACGTGCTCTACCACACCCATCGCCCTGCATTCTCCGTCACCTCCCTAAAAATCTCCCAGTTCAACCTCACCACCACAACCTCAGACGGCACAACCCGCTTAACAACTAAACCTTACTCTACCCGCCAAAAACCCCCAACAAAAAGGTGATATTCTACTACGATCCCATGTCCATCACAGTGTAATCTAATCAAGTTACCATATCATCCGATTCTTTTAAAAATTTCACCAATTCACCGGACACCACTTTCATAATTCACAGCACAACTGGATTAAACTACCAATTATTAGACAGGGACAAATCGAATTCATTGAAGTCAGATCTGAAGAAGAGAAATTGGATCCCATTACAGATCGTGATGGACACGATGATAGGGGTGAAAATAGAAAAGTTGAAAACGGAAATGGGTGTAGAAGGGGAAGGGGTGGGGGTGGGGGTGGGGATGGGGGAAGAATGCCTCCTTCATTGGGACAGCGACAGAGGTTCGAAACTTCCGATCTGACGACGGTGACTGTCAGATATGTGGGAGTGGGAAATGTGTGAGAGAGAAAGAGAGAAATGGGTGGGGAGGGGGGTTTGAGGAAAAAGAAAAGAATCTTTTGTTTTTTTTGTTTTTGCTAATTATTATAATTATTTTATATTAAAATTGTAAATTTACTATTTTGCCCTTATTACATTTGTTCAATTTTTACTATTCCGATCAGCTAACGGTTTTCCATCCATTTGGACTCCAACTGCTACATTTTGAAAGGTTTGGTACAGTGGGTGGTACAAAACAAAGGTTTGAACAAAGTCTGCAAAAAGTGAAAAGTTTGGTACCGTAGCTACAATTTTTCCTAATATTTATCATGCATGGCATGTACATGTGTTTGGAGTAAAGTGATTTGCTTTTGGAAATTATCTAGTGACGGACATAAGAAATGTAAACACGATACGATACTAAAGATGCAAACGAAAATCCATTAAGTTGGAGTTGAGGATTTTTGTAGAATTATTATATTGTCGAGGTTTTGCAATAGACAAGATCAAATTACGAGAAATTATCAAAAAATTTCTACTGAAAAAGGAAAAAAGAATCAAATTTAAATTTTATTTTCTTGCATCTACTGTATTTTTGAGACCCAAATGGAGCAGAGGCATTTATTACCTCATCTCATTTCTCTCTCCATTCTCAACAAATGTTGAGAAGATTGAATGTCATACCAAAGCAAGTAATTGTTACAAAACACATAACCAGATGATTTCACAATGTAGGTTATATATTGTTTAGAGGTTTGTAATTTACGTACTTGATTTGGTGATTTTTAAAGTATGTACCATTTACATGTCCAATGGTCGTGATATTATACACTAAAATCACATGCAATCTTATTACCTCACATCTGAAAGCCGTACCATCATACACGTGCCTAAATTACGCCATGACTTGATAAAATCGAGTCAAAAGTTGACTATGATATCTTTGATTATATAGCTCACATCATACATAACTACAAGCCCACGATAGTGTGTAATATATATATGTTTGATATAACTTCCCAATGCAAGAATGTTGTCCGTCTTCCTGGATATGCGTCAGAAGTAACTTTAATGAATGATTAACTATGTTTTCTCCATTCATAAGTTGAGATGAAAAATAAGCAATTTTATTGAATGAACAAACCTATTTTGGAGTGAGGGGCTAAGCTTTGCCTCCAATGGTAAATGTGACATTTGGCATGACTATATGAAATTACAATCAATTAGAGACGGGTCCGCTAGAATAGGGAGGCTCTCCCAAAGCTATCAAGATATGAAGAAGATTTGATTTAGGAAAATAACAGAGAAGAATAAATTTCAACGGGATTTTTTTGTATTTAATTTATATGAAATTATTTAGGACGTTAATTTGAATTAGATTAAGCTCAATTCACTTAATATTTTATAGTGTTATGATACTTTTTTCAGTAAATATAGAAACAAAATATGTGCCATGTAAAAATTGAATATTTTATTTTTAATAGGTGTGTGGTGTAATTTCCAGAGTCTTAAATTTAGCACTAGTTTGGTGGAATTTAATTTAATTTATTTCTCATACTCATTTTTAACCAAACATTCATACAATAAAATATTCTATACGTAAATTCAATTTTTTTCTACTTTATAACGACACATTGTTCAAAATATATTACTCAAAATATAGTTTTTTCAAAGGATAAAGTTATTTTGTCAGAAGGATTTGACAGAAAGCTTAACATAATTGCATATGACAGTAGATGATTGAATAAAAAAAGTCGACTGTATTTTAAACTGTCAAATAATAGAATGTCACATAACATTATGTCAAACTTTATATCAACTTTAATATTTATGTAGCATGATTGTTTTTCAAATTAAAGGTCATCAAACAGGGGATTAGTATCATTTTTTTAAAAAGTATATATATCTATATGGTAATTGTTTTATTTTCTTTTATATGGTACATATCTATATAAGATTTTATTTATTTAGTTAATTTAACTTTCGGGGGTCGGTTCAACCGTTTGATCATTGACCCTTTTTTCTTTTTCAAATCAATGTTCAGTCTGATTTTCAAAACATTTGTTATTGTTTCTTTATTGTTCTTTCAATAAAATTATTGTGCACGCCCTCAACTTATTCAAATAGTCACACTTTAGTCCCCAAAATAAAAATTTTAGATACCAAGACGGGTTTCATTCCAATGGGACATGACAGGTTGACATCTTGTCAAAGATTTTCGAGAGGAGGGACGGAAATGAGACCATGTTCAAACATAGTTAAAATATTCTAATTCTCCACTCTACTTATTATGAAAAATATATCTAGAGCATGTTCGAATCTGATTAAAAGGTTAAAAATGCATTTTAAAATAATAGATTGATGGAGAATGTATAATTAAAAATAAGAAAACATTTTGTGTTTGCATTTGAAGAATGTGTGGTTGAAAAGAAGAGAGAAAAATGTACTTTAAAAAATATGGGCATCAAACAATGGCCTAGTGTGATAATTCTGTATGTTGACCCCAAAAATACCATTGGTGTGGCCAACAGATCCCAAGACCCCTCAAGTCCATGTAAACTGAGTTCCGGCACACTTGGACAAACTGTTGGTTGCACAGCCTTCTCTGACGGTCAAGTTAACCAGATGAATGATTTAGGGTGTGGATAGCTTTGAACGTGAGCCTCCAATCAATCAAAAGGGGGTCGACTTGTAGTAGATAGCTGAAAATGTATGTAGCAAGGATATAGCTTTAATAGTCTAAACTTGCATTACCTTTGAATGACATTAAGTGTGAGCTTTTATATTTGGATGAAATGAATGGAGTCCACAGGATGGTAGTACACCTGGCCTCATCCGAACGACTTCCCTCTCATGTCAAATACATCGATCAATCCTTGCCTTAAATGCTATCACCATTTTTGCGTCCATAAAGCTTAGCCTGTACTTTTAGACTTGACCATATAAGACGGTGGCGGTAGAGGTGGTGGCGACGGTGGCGGTGGTAGTGAGTTGTCTTGTCAACTCACGTCATGTAAGATCCATTCAAGACCTTGCCACTGCCTTATCCTAGTCAGTTCTATCAATGGGTCTACCAGTAAAAGGGTTTGTCGAGGTTTTTTTGTAGGAGAGTTGGGTCGGTTGCTAGCATCTAGGTCGCTATATGCTAGCGTATGAGGCTAGTGCCCTCGAACTGTTTGCCACGTGGGCCCTTTCAGGGGTCCTAGCATTTCGTGATATAACAACACTCCTCGACGTCCATGTATGTTTATTCATATAATACGTGGACTTTTGAGTTGGTAAAAAAACCTGGATCGGGTGTTTTGAGCTTTTTTTATAGCTGAGGCCCGTGATAAGGCTAAAGGTTACGAGGCAAGACCCTTGGAGCATATGTTGAGCCCCTTTAGGAGCTGAACCCTGTTATAAGACTGGATGATGTGAGGCAAGGCCCTTAAGGCATATGTCGAGCCCTTTTAGGAGTTGAAGCCTCCTAGATGGCGTGCTCTAATGATTTGAAGGGCATGTTGATTCTCAATAAAAAACAGCAATGTGGTATGGCAATTTCTCAGGCTTAAGCTATGTGCACATTTAATGCACAATGATGATTTCGCACTGACGAGCCTACACGTGTATACGGTGCGTGCTCAACATGACTTCATCTGGGCCTTGGTTTGAATTTTTAGCAAGCGCCCTTTGGTATTAACATGACAGATGAGATTACAGGTAGAGGGCCATGATTAAGGTTGAGGAGGATCCAACAGTGAGTGTTTATTCACCATGCCTATATAAAAGGCCGAAAAACTACTTTTTCTCCTTTTCTTCACTTTGCAAAAATCAAAAGTTTAAGTGTTGAAATCCTTTGAAATTCTCCATAACCTCCATCGTTCCTTGTCCAGTGAGCAACTCCCTTTTTTCTACTTTTCGACATCCAAGACTGTGTAAGTACCTAAATATCTTCAAATTTTCCAATTTGTTCTCATTAAAATGGCCTCCACTTAAAAAAAAGTCGTTTGGGAAATCTTCCAAAGTAGACATGGCATTAATTTGTGACGAGGTGGGTGTGGCCCCTATAATCCCTACTGAAAGGATTATGGAGGCCATAGGGGGCCCTCATAGTGCATGGATGTTGCCGAGGGTCCTATAGAATTTTGTGTAAGGTAGGGGGCTTCTTTGTGGCCCACAGATATTAAAGAGGGTAAATTGGAGAAATTTAGGGAGAGGTTTAGGATTCCTAATAACATAGAAATGTTTGTGGCGACCCCTGATGAGAGGGCTTGTTTCCCTAGTGAAGGGTGCGTAATAGTTAACGAGGCCATCTTAGGCGGGGGATGAAGCTGCCCTTACACCCATTCTTTAGGTTTATCCTTAGGCACTACAATTTAGCCCCGACCCAGCTAGTGCCAAATGCATGGAGCCAATTAGCAGGGACCTTTCTTCTTTAGAAGAAGGTCACTCTTGGCGAGGATATATCGTCGTACGTATTTAAGTGATTGCAAGGGGCGGTACTGCATGAATTCCTAGGGCCCGCATTCTCCCTTTATCAGGGAGACCCCAACCTCTATAAAAGATTGAAAGTCCTCATGGTTTTGGGTTAGGGGTCGCTGGCAAACAGTGGAGGGAGATGTGGTCCTAGAGATCACCGTGTCGACTTAGTACCATGAGAATAGTGAGTCAAACCTTCATCTAGTTTTACCTTATGCTCTTGTTTTCCCACTCCTTCCTCTGTAGAAACTCTTTGGCTTATCATAAACTTTCGCAGCTGTAGTTAACCAGTTCGAGCTCGAGTCGTTTGAGTAGAGCATTATAAAGGCCATTTACGAACTGCCTTAAAAAAGGAGGTCTTTTAAGAACATCGTCAACAAGCGGAATCTATTTTTCACACACTGACTTATGGCTACTAAGGGTAAGGAAGGTTTTACTCAAGTCGCTTTATTATGTGATGTGTATTTTCCTGAATCTGATTGCTGACTGATAATAGTGCATTATCACTTTTTCATCCACAAATAATTGCATTTTCATGATTTATTGGCGCCTAAATGTTCTAA